TTTTTTTTTTTTTTTTTTACACGAAATTTCGAGGGCTTCGTTTTCTCACTAAATGCATATACGAACATATAAATGCCTATTGCTTTATTACGGGATCCAGGAGGATCCCATACGTTCTCACGACGTATGAAAGTAACACATGCTCGATACCCATTAATTGGTGGTGCGTGACAAATTGACATCAGAGAAGGGCAACGCACTCGTCTGTAAATATAAACTTCAATCTTTTAATTCACACGCTGCTAATCCAATCTGGCAAAGAAATTTTCCCATAGATAATTTATATATTTCATTGTCAGATAATAAAATAACAGTAATTATCTAATATTTTATTAAATAATTTAGACACTTTATATTACAATTATATTTGTAATTTACATTATAAATTCTTAGATGGCCAATATAATAATCTCTCGAAGCACTTCTTTTTGGAAAATAGAACCGAGGCGAAAAAGAAGAGAAATGGATTCCAAGCCATGACAGAGTTGAACCTATTTTTACGTATAAGCAGACGTAATATAATAATTGTTGATGCTCTTATCTGATGCTCGTATCTTGTCGACATCTCATCCTGTACTCTCCCATAAACACAAATTATCATACATAGTTTGCACATAGTTTAAGAAGAAATTCTGGGAAATCTTTTGTTACCTGTTACACATAATACGTCGTAAGTTTCCCCAGGACAAACGAGTTTTTCGTTTGACCTAATTAATTATTTTGCTAACTCTTCTACGTGTGATTTGTAACAAGAATTTTCATTTTAACTTTGCTTTCGCTTTTTTTGTTTTGCAGAAATGAGTTACCGAGGCAAATTTTCATTTCAATGTCACGTAAACAGTGAGATAGTAATATCATTCAGAAATAATTACACAAGAATTCTACTATAATTACACGGAATAGTTTACTTTATCATTCTGCGTCATCGTTTATCTAACTGATATTGAATTTTGTTGATTTCGTTGTAAAAACACACTGATTACAAAAAGCTGTTACGTGTACGTAAAGAGAGTTAACAAGATAATTTAAAAGGTAACTTAAATGTTAGCATATTGACATATTTTATTGGCTATATAACTTTTCATATAAATTATTGGCTAAATAACTTTTCATATAAATTTTTCATATAAACTTTTCATATAAATTATTGGCTAAATAACTTTTCATATAAATACGTTATTGAAATTTTCAGGAGTTGTACATAAATAGTATTGAGAACAGTCACTATGATCCCGTATTATTATCTATGAATATATTATAATATATTATCTCTAATATACAAGTCTCTCGTTTCCCAATGACAACGCTCATTTTTTAAAAACGAGAATATTAATGAAATTGAAATATTAGACAAACAACGTATGGAAATCAGTATGAAATTGACGATTGAGAATCCCTTTGAAAGTTTGGCATCTCTCTTTAATAGGAAAATGTCTCACTGTTTCAAAGAGCGTTATTTGTATTTTAAAATCCATGTAAAATTTTGTTAACTATCAATCAATTTACAACGTTTGTAATTTTTTGTTTAAACTAATTGACTAATATTGTTAGAAGCGAAACTGATCAATTTCTGGCTTTTGTTTCACAATTTCATCAAATTGGTACACAGTTAGAATTGAATGTTATAAAGATCACCTATTGCAAAAGTGAATATACATTTAAAAAATAAAAATATTCAAAATACAAATTGAATTGAATATCTGTTATTAATGAATTTATATTTACTTTATGTTTACTTATTTATTATAGATTTATTTGTTATTAAAATGTTTTCATATAATACTTTGTTTATTAATTCATGAAAATAACAAAAATCTCTTTTTTAGTAAGAAAACGTTGATCCTCAACAATATACATATATCCAATACATATATATATATATATATATATATATTCAAGAAATTTTTAATTGGAGCTGAGATATTCTGTAGAAGAGTTTTACAAAACTTGTTCAGAAGACATATGTAAGAAATAGAATACTTCATAATTCTTTGACAGAAGACTTCCAAAATTACAGATGACGAAAATCCAGATTCCAGATAACTAAGCCCCTTTCTTTTCCTGAATATTCTGGCCAATTTTATGCAGATTACAATATGATAACTAAGAAAATATTGTAATAATTAGTTTTGAAATTCCAGCTTTGAGCATGTTCTAAGTTAACACGCTGTCGTTTTTGTATAATTATTCTCATTGTTATTGAAACTGTCGTTTTATTTCTCTGAATGAGCACGCACTTAACTTATAAAAGTATAATTATTCTCATTGTTATTCAAACTGTCGTCTTATTTTTCTGAATGAGGACGCACTTAACTTATAAAAGTTTAATATCAACGATATAAGTGATTATCTTGCGAACCGCCACGAAGAAAAAAAAATAAATGAGGTGTAAAGAAGAACTTTATGGTAATAAAAAAGAAAAAGCTATCTACATCATGTAATGTTTCACTAAACACAAGCAGATAACCGTATGCATGAATCATATTTTATGCAGGTTAAAATTTTTTTCAGATAAGTATAACAACGCAAAACGCACTTGATGATAGTTATGGATAGATATGCTGTTGAAAACACAATAATTTGAATAATAACAAAGATAACTGTGTCCTTTTGAAATACAATCATACTCAATCAAACATTTCCTTGGTATCTAATAAGTATCTAACAAATCGATCTAAAAATCGCTTTTAGAAAATTCTTTAAAGAAAAGAAGATAGTGACTGGGAAGATCTGTTTCGTTCAGAATCATGTTGTCACTTCATCGCTGATTAGAGCGATAATTTAACATCAGTTGTGGGGAGGGCGACGTTAAGTACTCCTCTACTCGGTAGCACACTATCATTTCCAATTGGAGTTCTCTTCAGTCTTCAGTCGGTTCTTATGTAAGATTTCAACGACATGTAATTATTAACATACTTTGATATCTCCTTCACAGATGACTGTACTGTGTACATCATTAGTTTGTTAAGTCGTATAAAATTTTTGTTTCATTGTGTTGTGTTCAAGTTTCAACATCCTTCTCGTGACCCTGATTCCAACAGAATGGTGGGAATTATGTGCTATGAAAACTATTGTGATCACCCGTATCGTCCTATAGTTTTTTTACAATAATTAATCTCTTTATTTCGATAATATAATCAATGTTATATTAATCACATTAATTTATGCTTGTACAATATTATTATATTAATTTTAATACAGTAATCAGTACATTTTATTATAAATAATTTTTATTTGAAGATATATAACTCAAGGTTCTGCTAATTTGTAACTTCATGGATATTTTCTTGGAAAATTAAGAGCATGTCTCCTTTCATTCTAAACCGAAATATTGTGTAATAATTTTAAAATTATGACAAGGAAGGTCGTGTCATCATTTCATTAAAACTCTCTCACGTGTCATTTCATCGCATTGTTAATTTTCAAAAGCATCTGACGATTCACTTGTTAAGCATGTTTATTTCTCAAGCGTGGACAGTGCGTCCAAACTGAATCCGCTCCGTTACAATAATAGAACAGATTTTTTTTTTAGTTTTTTTTTTGTAGTGTAGAGTTTATCTCAGCCATAAGGTAGTGGTGTTCGGTGAGCAAGTTCCAGAAACCAATTTGCGGCAAAATGAAGACAAAACTAAATACGATTGAATAAAAGTACAATATAAATAAACACATATGTTAGTATTCAGTGTTGCTGTCGTGCTTCTTTAAACTTGGAATTGATGTTAAGCTTTATTTACTGTTTGACCACAATTACAAAATCATAAATTATTTGTAACTGTAAATTGATTGCGACGGTGTCGTTCAAAGTTAATCAATTAAATTAAAAGGCAATTATTTACTGTTGCAGGGATTGCAAGGACGTTGTGGAATTCATCATCAATGGACAAAGTTACACTGGTCTGAACTCGATAATTAAAATGACTGAAAATCACCCGGGAAGAAAAAACGATAGCGATAATTACAATGGTATAAACAATTTTCAGCGTCGGAAGAGATTCCGCCTGGAACATCCTTGAACGTCTTCATCCGGGATTATGCGAAATTGCGAGGAACAAAGGCCATGTGCCATGAAGGAGGCTGTGGTGCTTGTGTCGTGTCAGTGGAAATCAAAGGTGAAACAATGTCTGTGAATTCTTGCCTGATACCAGTCTTCATTTGCAATGGGTGAGTTCTGAGTTGTCAGTGATATTTCTGAAAATTAATATTCAAATTATACTTCTCTATTACTCTATTCTTAATCTGTTTT